TAGCTTCCGCTGCTGAGGATTCTTTGCTCAGTTTAGGTGCACGGAGCCTTAGGTTTCTGGGCTTTCGAGCATCAGAACCTGCAGAGCACCACGCGTTTGGTGTCTAGGCTCCAGAGTCGTGCGGCGCTTGATAAGAGCCTTGATGATTGGTCGGAGCCCGATGTTCGACGTGCTTGTAGTTAAGGTGTAGTTTGGCGTTTCACCGCTGGCTCTAAGTACCTATACTTATACTTCAAGGGTCATCATGCCTACAGTAACTGTCATCGGCGTCGAAACCGTCAACGTCGTTGCAAGATTTGGGGCTACCTGACCTGTGTGAACAAGGTAGACCCCCCTCGAAGCATGTAAAGCGAAGCCTCCAGCTTGAAACGCAGTCATACTGACCATAGTGTCTTGGTTCCATGTCCGCCCCTGAATCACTGAAAGTAGTTTACAACTTACGCCGTATGGAGGAGTTCCGAGATCCTACTTGGAATGCCCGCCACGCTGCGGCCTGCAAGGGTCTCGGTGTTTAGAGTTTAGGTTTGCTTCGTTTAGTTTCCGCATGCTTTCTGAACTGCATCTGTGAATGCAGCATCGACGTTTCTGCACCCTACCGTGATGTAGGATGTAAGATAGACTTAAGGCAGCTTACTATGGCGTCTTGAGGATTTTTTCGGGCCGAGGCTTCGGGGTCGTGGGACGGAATTTGGCTGCCACCCGGGTCGTGGAAGTAATGACACCAGCTCACGATTAGGGTTGCGCTGCCACGTTCGTGAGCCTTCGGCCCGAGTATGCTCTCCAACTGCTGCTGGTACTACTGCGCTGCCACCTACTACTACTACTACTACTACTACTACTACTACTACTACTACTACTACTACTACTACTACTACTACTACTACTACCGCTACTACTACTACTACTACTACTACTACTACTACTACTACTACTACTACTACTACTACTACTACTCCTGCTACTGCTATCGCTACAGCTGCCGCAACAGCTGCCGAGACAGCTACTGCTACAGTGACTGCTGCTGCTACTGCTACTTCTGCGAGTACTACTACTGCTACGACTGCGACGACTTCTTCTTCTTCTGCTTCTACTACCACGGTCTTTGACACCTTCGTTTGATCACTTGGCCTGCAGGGGCTCTGCGCAGACATGGGCACACGCGGTTGTTCGGTCTGTTTTGCGCCTGCCGTTTCCGAAAGGCTCTGTTCTGCTTCCATGCAGCTATATTCTACGACCGGCTTTTCCGAACCATTTTGAAAGCCCCTCTTTGGCATCTGCTCAGGTGTATACTACGCCTGCAAGGAGTTTCGGGAGGCCATGGGGGTATGCCTTCGTGCAGGCACTGCTAGTTTTTTTGCGACTACCAGTTCGAGTATTGCGAACAGCACAGCAGTGGTCGTGATAGTAGTCGTCGTTGTCGTCCTGATTGTGGGTAGTGGTATAGTGGTTGTGCTAACGTGGCATTGGCAGCGGCAGTCGTAGTCGTAGACGTGGTCTCGTACGGGTAGTGGCAGTGGACGCTGTCGCGTTCGCGGCGGTCGCGGCGGTCGCGGCCGAGGTGGTCGAAGTTATGGGTCGTCGCGGTCGCGATCGCAGTGTTCGTGGTCATGGTGGTTGAGATGGTGGTCGTAGTCGTCATCGTGATCAGTAGCAGTTAGTAGAGGTAGGGTGTGGTAGTAGTCATGGTCGTCGTCCTCCTCGTCGTCCTCGCCGCCGTCGTTGTCATCGTTGTTTTCCTTGTTTTCGTCGTTGTTGTCGCAGCTGTCACTGTACCTAATCTGGCCCGAGCAATGACTTCTTCCCTAAATCATCGAACTCCGAAGGATCCCAAAACGAAGGAAGAACTCGCGGTTACGGCAGGTCACCGGCCTTTTCCCGACCTCCTGGTCGGCACTGGAGGACTTCGATGGCGGACGTTTGCCGCTGGGGCTCGTTAGTCTTCTCTCCCTTTCAAAGTTTACGGCTTCATGTTCCCGGCTTTAGCTTTTAACGGTTTCGCTGGCAAGCTGCGAAAATGAGCGCTTACCTGCAAAATAGCGTAAGGTTGTGCTTGCGTGGAGTTGGTGGGTCCTTATAATCCCTTATACCCGAAACCGTCGCGAACTGCCTAGCGAATAGTTTCAATAAGTTCTATGAATCTCAGGCATGCGAGGCCATGAAACACCAAGGCACCTTCAGAATGAAAAGACAGCTACTATTTTGTGGCTGGTGGTTGGGTGGTAGTGGTGGGTGGGTGTGGTTGGTGGGTGGGTGGGTGGGTGGGTGGGTGTGTCAGAGAGACAGACAGAGAGAGAGAGAGACAGAGAGAGAGACCGTTCCAAAAAGTCAACACCTTAAAACCAACAAGTGACAAAAGCAGTTCCTACTTTAAAAGGACACCAGGTAATCTCCAAACCCAAAGCCCCAATCCGTCATTTTTACCCAAGACCCACTCTGTTTAATTCAGCGTCAGCCCAAGCCCAGAACTCTTTGCCGCAACATAGTAGTAGAGTAGGTAACCTCATACCTTTTTCGGCTACCATATACCCGTTAGTTCCCATAGTATGCTGGACAAGTGAGCTTTGTAATCGAACTGTTGTAGCAACCTGAATGGGAGCCTCTGAGCGACTCTCCAATAAACCTTACTCTACCCTTCACCCTCAACTGTAGTATACTGGACCAGTGCAGCAAAACTTGCGCCTGACAGGCTTCGGGGCGCCGCGCTCTCCGGGGCCTCCGTTTCTTTCGTGGCCGTGAGGCAGGGGGATTTAGGCTGCTCAGTGTTAAAAGGTTTTGATTGTAGGGTTTGGGGTATTCTGGGGCCGCGGGTTGAGGTTAGTTGCTTTATCTTCTTTCAGGGTTCTGGATTTGGATTCTGGGGGTTGTTTGGGGTATGGAGCCAATCAACAGCCAGCAATGTACTCTTCAGATTTATTTGGCTGGTGAACCTCAAACGCTGAACCACTCAACCCTAAACCCTAAACCCCAAACCCTAAACCCTAAACCCTAATCCCCAAACCCTAAACCCCAAACCCTAAACCCTAAACCGCTAGGTACAGTACAGACTCCGGGATGTAGAGCTTCACTCGAGATAACCGGTACGCCCATGGGGATCCGGCCTTTGGGATAGAGAGCCTCGTAGACAAAACGGTAACACTTGTGGGTGCTGGGATGCTGTCGGAGTTTTAGGCTTACAGATGCAAGACCCTGACTTCTGGACCTGTACATATCTATCCGTATATATATATATATATATATCGGTAGCTTGCTCATAGACGAGAGGCCTCAATCATCAACGGCTTTGGTGTACAAATCAAGGCCCCCAGGATAAACAGTGTATTGGGGATTCTGAGAAAGACCAACAAAGAAGTATGTTATGGTAGCTTGGGGCAATGATACGGGGACTTTCATGCGACCTCAGCAGTTTCGCTTACCTCCCAGGAGCAGTGATATTGGGGCAGAAAACCTGGGACAATACAACGACCTCCAGATATAAGCTATCATGTCGAGAACTTCCATAGTATAAGCCCTCTTGCACAACCCTTTCAAGCCCCTGTAGCCCTAAACCCTTAAGCCCTTAAACCCTTAAACCCTTAAACCCTAAACCGTTAAACCCTTAAACCCTAAACCCTGAACCCTAAACCCTAAAACCCTAAACCCTTAAACCCTATACCCTAAACCCTAAAACCCTAAAACCCTACACCCTTAAACCCTAAACCATAAAAGCAGAAGACCCAGAAGCCGACTCCACGGGCAGGGGCGAAGCCTTCGTGGCCCAAGTAACCGCGAACGGTCGCGACCTTGGCCTCTACTATGGGGGCCCAAATGGGAGTTTCCGAAAATAGGGAACCCTAATATGGTACCCTAAATTGTAGGAACCTTATTACAAGGACCCCCAAATACGGTACCCCTATTTTCGGAAACTCCCAAATACTTACCAATACTACTTCGGGGTTCCTTGTTAGAAACAAAGTATAATGGGCCCCAAAACCCGATTCTAGTTTTTAAGGCCTCTACATTACATGAGGAGTCCTATCGCTCGCCCTCTGACGTAGTGCCCTTAACACTGAATACTTTAGGCCCTAAAGTATTCAGTGTTAAGGGCACTACGTCCATTCAGGGTGATTTATGGCATTCTGTTATTATGTTTGTTCAACCGGTGGCTCTGAACCAGAAGCCCTCAACCCTGAAGCCCAACCCACCAGTCGATTTCAGGGTCTCTTTTTCAGGGACTTGCGCCCTGGCTGCCGGCTCTCTGCTTAAATCGCCGTAGACCCGGCGAGCCCCATGGCCCTTATCCTTCCTTTGAATTGCAATAGGGTTCTTTGGGGTCCTAATATAGCCCTCATTTTACCATGGCAGTAAAGGGGCCGGGAAGGCTCTCTGAGGAGAGCCCTTAGCAAGACTGGGTCTGGGATTCTGTAGACAAGATTACGCTTTCAAGTTGTAGGGTTTAGGCTTGTTTAAACAGTCAGTCATCTCGACTCGGAGATGCTCCATCGGGTCAACCGCACTCACAGTAACAGTTCCTGTCGATGTGGAAGTATTGGCCCCCCTGATAAAACTTTTCGGCACCATCATTGTTAGTATTTGCTCATGAACAGTTTCAAGAGAGCTCTGTTTAGGAACCTCAGCGACTGTTTGTTTGGACGCAAGGTTTAGCCGCAGACATCGCCGGCATGTCGATGCAGCATTTGGGCTCGAGATCCAAGCACACATGCCACTCACTGTCACGATTACTGTCAACATCCCTGAGCAAGAACCATCATGGAAGTATGCCATTTGACTATAAGCATGATTCGTTGTACTAGTCTGTCTCGTCTTCTTCATCTCCTGGATAGCTCTTAGAACGGGCGTGCAGCAAAGGGGATTTTCTCTTAGGGTTTAGGGTTCACCTTCTAGAACCACACCTCCTCACCAAAAACGAGGACTGAATGAGTACTACTAGTCTCCCCTATAATTAGTCCCTACCGTTCCTTCCCAGTCGGATTGTTCTTGGGCTCGGCTTGTGACCTGCATAGATGCCAGCCATGAACGATGCGCCAGCAAAGATGCGGAGGTGCGCACCCCAGAGTTTGTAGGGTTGACAATGATTCTACCGGGTCTGTCTACAAGTTTTCTAAATAGAGGTCTAACGTTTCCTTATATGAATCCTACTATTTGGGGAGTATAGGCCCAGGGTTTCTTGATCAGGTTCCTACATTATAAGCGATCTACAAGGCACTTCATCGGGGGTTTTTAGGCTTTCGGGTCTGCCGAGTAGACCATCACATCGGGCTCTGGTCTCTCATCCAAGCCAGTCCCTGTTTACAGTTTAGGGGTCTTGGGTTACCCCGAATGACCTACATGTTTAAGGACTTATATAAAGAAATCATAGAAAGGAACCCTAGAAGGCAGGTTATTCATGGTTAAGGCAGGGTTTAGAGTTTAGCGGTCGGAGTAACACGAAGACCCCGAAAACCCTTATTCCTACAAACGCTCCCCACCAAACAAGACAGACAAAGACCCAGCTTGAAAACCCTGAAGCCCCATTGCCCTGAACAAAGCCCTAAACCCCGCTAAACCCCCAAAGGCCTAAAGCACTAAGCAGGAAAACGCGAAGGCTGTCAAGCCCTTACACACAAACCATGCAATCTTCCTCAGAGGCTCCCCTGGATCTAGAGAAGCTCTACAACAGCTCTATGTCATGAAAGGGTTGAGGGTTTCCGGCGTCGGTTTTATGCAGGGATTGAAACGGGTGTCGTTAAGGGGTTTTAAACTTGACAGAAATGGTTTTATAAAGGGTGTTGCAAGGGCTTTGCAAGGTCTTCTCTTGTCTGATTAATCATGGGGGTTGTTTTGTTGTGTGGCGGTTTGAGGTTTCCGGTATGGGGTTTGGGTCTAGGTGTGCTTTTTTTGGAAGGGGAGGGTGGGGGGGTGTAGAAGGTTTCGGGTTTTGGTCGGATATTAGCATAACTCTGCTGAGGTTGGCAGGGAGCCACAAGCCCTGGTTTAGGGGGCAGACGCCGGATGAGACCATGAGCATGAGCCTTTGTTGGATGGGAGAGGCATTCATCAAGCAGGCATCTGCTTTGTGGGCTTAGGGCTGACAGGGCCGCTTATAGCCGGATGTGGGAGCTTAAGTAATTCAGTACTTTATTACCAACGCTATTCCACATGGCTCTTATTATGGTTACCGGAAAAGAGCCCAAAATCCTATTCTAATCATTATTGCATTAATAAAGGCCCCCAATAGGCCTAACTAACTGCACATACTATAATTAACTATAGTAGAGTACACCCCAAAACCCTACTCTTATTTCTGGAGAATGACAGCCCCTTCTGAATTATTAAGGCCCCTATAGTATACTAGGATGCCCAGTAGTACCCTTCTTCCCTTTTTGTTGTCCTAGATTCCTTATAAAGTTACCCAATACCAAAAAGGGCGCCCTTTTTATTCCCAGGTTACTGGGCATCCTAGTATATTACGTCGACATTGAAGCTGCGGAGGTCAAGCAGCCGATGGACGCTTGCCGCGATCCTCGTGCTGTGCCTCCGAGGTTCATCTGGTGACCAAGAGATGCGATTTTTTTGGCTAAGGGTTTTAGGGCTTATAGGGTTTGTTGGGTTCTTGGGGTTTTAGGGTGTATGGGATTTTAAGGTTTATCGGGTTTAGGGCTTTAGGGTTTTAGGGGGGATAGGGCTTATAGGGGTTGTAGGGTTGAGGGCTTTAGGGTTGCAGGGTTTTCGGGTTTGGAATTTACCGGGTTTGGGGTTTTAGGGTGTTAGGGTTTAGGCTTCATAGGGTTTAGTGGATAAGGGTCTGAGGTTCAGGGGTTACGGGTTCAAGGTTCAGGTAAAGCGATGCAAGACAGGAGAGTTGCGGATTAAAAGTTTCGGACTGGTTCGGTCCTTCCTGGCTGGTTAATAATAAGAGTAATAATAATAATAGTAATAATATTAATAATAATAATAGTAATAATAATAGTAATAATAATAATAATAATAACAATAATAATAATAATAATAATAGTGCAATGCTGTTGTCTCCATGACAGCCCTGAAGCCCCGAAACTCTAAGCCTCTCTAAGGCCCATCATGCTTTTCATCATCTTTCTCCTCGGCAACAACAGCCCTAGGGCCCCGAAAATCAGGGTTCAATTTAAAAGGTGGTTGAAATATGGCCGCACCGGTTTCTTTATATCACATGAGCTGCAGTCAGAGGGATACAACTCTGCTTCAGTGGTCCCATGATGGCCCTTCCCAAACCCTGGTTGATCTACGAACCATGCCCTCTTGGAAGAGTTGTTCTATCTGGTTCTTAGCAGGGAATGGGGAATGGGTTGTGGGGACTATTTGAGGGGATTATACAGGGACTACGGATCCACTCCCCCATTCCCTACTAAGCACCAGGGAGTCATAAGAGGCACTTGTTTCTCGGGCGGGGTTCGGTCATGGACCGCTTTCACATGGAAGCGCCCGCAGTCTTTGCTCGAATGAATCCCGGGCACGGCTACTGTGGTTGTGCTTGGGGCAGTGGTTTGCTTGGAGAGTCCAACATCCCTACTATAGGTTAAAGAATATTCCGCGATTCAGAACTTGAAGCGAACCCGAAGCATGAGCGCTATGTGGGCTGGCTTTACTGAGAAGTTCTGCCCTAGTACAAAGCTTGATAGGTCTCCAGTCTGGCCTTGTGGTTCATCCTGTTTGTGCTTAGCGCCCCACATCGTATTCATCAATGCGGTAACCACACAAAGTATGGGAGTTTCCGAAAATAGGGAACCCTAATATGGTACCCTAAATAGTAGGATCCTTTGTTATAAGGACCCCCAAAGAAGGTACCCCTAGTTTTCGGAAACTCCCACATCGGTAGCCCCGAAAGGCAACTCTGCACAGTACAGGTGCCTGCAACGGCTTCGTGGCACCAGGCGGCCGGGGTCCGGATTCCCTGTAAGCCAGCCCGGAGCAATGCCCATTGACGAGGGGTGCACCCCAATATCAGGGCCTTTATAGATAGTTTAGGGTAGTTTCAAAGTCAAGGGCACTCGGCTCTCTAGGAGGTTGTCGGTTCGGATTCCAAATCTTGGAACCCATATACCTTAAATAAATCCCAAACGCCAGCAAACTTGCGATATTTGACTGCGCTATACAGTATTATGTCAAGCTAGCCTAGAGAGTACCCGGAAGCCGCGTCCTGGGTCCTGCAGCTAAGGCCACAAATTAATTACTGCAATCTGTGGAACCTATTCCCCAAACTCTAGGGCTTCACAGCTCCACGTTACATGAGCCCTCCTGCACAATCACCCCCCCCCCCCGCCCCCACACGGATGTAGGGCGGCGTAGGGGCCTGCATACTTAGACAAGGTTTCGAGGAGGCAAAATACAGTCAAAAAGAACATGGTGACTGCAAAGAGGTTGCTATTCCTTCGTCAGGCCTCTCTATTCGGGTCCAGGGCTCTTGAAGTTGAGCCTGGCTTGAAGATCAGCAGCTCGAAACTGAAGCTCTAGTTGCACCCGAAAACTAAGCCCAATCAAAAGGAAGCCACACCCCCCGAAACTGAAAGCCCGAAGCCCCAAAGAAGACGACACCCCGAATTCTTGGGATCTTTATTAGGGCTTACCTTTACTTATTTTGTAGGTTCTTATTGTCCCTAATATACAATTACATTATAGGTTCTTATGATTTATCCCTAACATGAAATTACTTTGTAGGTTCTTACAGCTTATCCCTACTATGGAACTGATTGATCAAGACCCAACACTTTTTGGCAGGTTCAGGTGAGCACAAAGAAGCCTAGCACCCTAAACCCTAAACCTAGCAGCCGTCAGGTTGGGGGCCGGCATCACAGCGAGGCTTCAAACCGGCCTCGATTTCTTTGCCGACGCCGGGTCCAGCCAGGAGGCTGATGGAGGGTTCCCACTTGCTAAACCTGATCACAGTGTTACTTGGAAGGGCAGGGGACTTAGTAAGTAGGTTATAAGTAGAGTTATAAGTACCCTAAATTGAGGTACCCGAATTATATCCCTACTTATAACCTACTTGCTAAGTCCCCTGCCCTTCCAAGTACAATCTTGAACGTCAAAGGTTTTATGAGGTTTGACGTGGATGATAGCTTTGGGTTTCTAAAGGTGCCGTGCTGATGCTTCTGGTGGTTACATAGTGAAATCGGCAGAAATCATTAGTGTGTAGTATGCTCACTAGCATTGTTCCCAGGGCCGGCAGAGTCTTGCTATGACCTGTATGGAGCTGTCGGCACGAGGGTTTGTTGGGTTCGGGGTCTTTTAGTACAGGGCCGACAGAATTAGCATTCTCTTCTTAAGGGCTGTTCATCAGATTTATACGACCATATGCCCCGTAGCCCTAATAACAAATTTGAGTCCCTGGTTTAGGGTTTTGGGTATTCTCCTGATGGCTTGGGTCCATCTTGGAGTTTTCCGGGGCCGAATGTAGGCGCCTCAAACTACTTGCAACATTCTGCAAGTTCGAGACCAGCTTTTCGGCCTTTCCCCGGCTTGGGAGCCTTTACGCCGGTTTGGTGCGCAGGGTTTAGGGTTTCCTGCGAAACTGAGGCAGCAGGGTTTCGGGTTGCTACTGAATTTGCTGGTGCTTGTTACCTAAAAACAAAATGAAGACCGTGAAAGTCAGTGAAAGGCCGAAACGACCTCCAAACAGAGGTCGCGATATCAGCAATAGCAGTTTCGCGGGTTCCCACGTTTTTACCCACAGCCCTACTCAAATGTTTGCGGCCCCGACATCATAGAGCCCCTAAACCCTAAACCCTTCCAGAATCCTTAGAGGATCTCCACAGCCCCTACTTGGAAGGGCAGCGGACTTCGTAAGTAGGTTATAAGTAGGGTTATAATTGGGGTAACTCCATTTAGGGTACTTATAACTCTACTTATAACCTACTTACTAAGTCCCCTGCCCTTCCAAGTACATCATGACATCCTGTTAGGTCCTTGTAGCAACCCTCATGGGGCTCTTTGAAACAAACCCAAATGGAGCCCTACTCTTCAAAGGCCTGTAGCCCCCAAAACAGTACAAGTAATTATTTAGGCCCCTATATCCCGAAATCCCTCATAGAACCTTATAGTATCCCTATTTAAGGAGCCCTTTTAACGGAACCCTGGTATTTATTAAGATTGCTTCAGTTGCGCCTGGATGAGGCCGCAGAGTGCCCGGGAGGCCCTGGTGATGCCAATTTCTGGCGCTGGCGAGGCCCCCGAGGGGTTACTTGGAAGGGCAGGGGACTTAGTAAGTAGGTCATGAGTAGAGTTATAAGTACCCTAAATCGAGGTACCCGAATTATAACCCTACTTATAACCTACTTACTAAGTCCCCTGCCCTTCCAAGTAGGGTTTATTTATAGTATCCTTGTGGGAGGGGGCTCCAAGGGAAATAGATAACCTACTAATCCCTAGTTCCTTAGGGACTCTGTAGTTTGTAGGGTTTTGAAAAAGCTATCATCGGGAGGTGTCAGGCTTCCATGCGAGGCTTTTGCAAGACTTCAAAGGGTTTGGGATTCGAGGGTTTAGGATTTGGCTTGGGAATTAGAGGTTTGTGGCTTAGCGTTTGATATCATACGGGAAGCGTGTAAGCCCTTGAGCCTGCAAGACGAGTGTTGAGTTCATTCTCCTGCTCTTCACCCAAGTCATGCCAAGAGCAGTTGTAAGCAAAGCTTTTCAGTAATATAGGGGCCTGAACAACTACAGTGAATGTGCGGATAACGATGTTCCAACTTTCTGGCTTCTACTGTAGCAGTACTCATCCATTACTCCTCGATTGTTTCCATAGCCTGCCTTAGAGAATAAACCCCCGGCGTTAGTCTACTTACTCAGACCCCTACGTCATATCAGGCGCTTATTTGAACCATTCACGGTGAAGATTCGCGGGTTCGGGTTGAGAGGGTCTGCAGGTCGCAAAAAGCCGGCCGCACGTAAACAGTTGAGCCCAAAATCCGTGAACCTGTTATTTAAGGTTTGTAAATGTTGTTTGAAACCCCAAATGATTAAACCTCAAATTGCTTTAGCTGCAGACCCAGCAGTTCGTGCAGACACATCGGGCGAATCGTTGCCTTTTCATGACCCCTCAACTCCCAGACCCCTATCAGCATCCGGAAGGTAGAACCCAGCACTTTGGCAGCTCCTAGAACTTCGAAATTTACTCTTCGGATCCTGCCAGAGATCTGGGTTTGGGATTTTCCCTAAACAGCGCACATTTCGGGAAACATGGACGCGTCTGCATCTGCTGGCTTCCTGCCGGTACCGAGCACCCGGAACCCGTCAACCAAGAATGCATGCGAAAGCCCTGCATATATTATTTATTATTATAATATACATTATATATTATCATAGCTTCGTGAGGCTTTGGCCACCGTTTTGGTCAGTGAGGTTGGCGACAAGAGCCTCAGACAAATTTGTGTGTTTCAATTGTCTAGAAAAGCGCAGTAAGCGCTCATTGTGTGGTTCACAAGCTGCTGGTTGAACATGCCTGGGACTGGGAGTAATCAGTAAGTCGAAGATAGGTAGACTTTCATGAGGATAACACCAACTCGGGCAATTGCTCATAGCTCAGTTATGACCTACGACTTACTAATTGCCCTGCACCCGTGAGCACCAGGAGATAATGCCTCAGGGTAGAGACGCCATTATCCGGGTCACGAGTTCAGTTTAGGGTTTAAGGCTGCGTGGCTGGACCAGTAGGGCTTCAGGGGGTGTGGTTTAGGCTTTGTTCAGCTGGAGCTTGCGGGATCGAAAGCCAACGTGCTGGCCTCCTTCCCTTGGACGCCTTCCTACTGATGTCGAAGCGTTCCATAAGGGTGATCATATGGGAGACCAGCGAGAGACAGGGTACCCTTCGTTAATACCGAGCAGAACGCTATTCATCCAGGCCTCCACAGCCCTCTTTGCCACTGAAACCCTAAACCCCAACCCCTAGAACCCTTTACTCCCCAAAGCCCTAAATCCTTCGAAGATCGAGAAAAGCGTCGCAAGCGCTGAAACTTCCAGCTCTCAGGACCTTTTTCCTCACGATGATTCTAGCCATGCGCAGCAGTCGCAGGTTCTGCCGTTCAACTCCGGTTTCGAAGTGGAAACTCGAGTACACATTCTCAGTACCCTATAAGACTCCAGGGATAGCAGTTAAAGCTAAACTCTTGCTTTGGGATGTGAAGTCGGTACATGGAGCCCACTCTGGGCTCTACGCATCACTACGTTCACGTTGGCCTGATACTATGGGGGCTTAAATACTTACCGGTACTATTTTGGGTGTTCCTTTTCAAAAAACAAAGTATCGTGGGCCCCAAAACCCGATTCTAATTGTTAAGGCCTCTACATTAGATGAGCTCTTGGCCTTCGACGTTTCAGATATCTAGGTCCTTTGCAGGGGTTGAGGGTTTAGGGTGATGCTAAGCTCATATGGGTGGTTGTCAAAATGATGGTCCCTTTTTGGGTCCCTATTATACTACGGCACCTAACCAAAAAGGGATCATAATTTTGACAACCACCCATATGGTGTTGAGGCTTTTTGGCCCAGAGACTCGAGACCCGACTATCGAAGGCTTTTGGGACGTTTTTTCGAAGCTGGCCGATAAGTCCAGTCAGAATTGGTTCCGTCCGTCCTTCAGGAATTGAGTGGTTTAGGGTACAAGGTCTAATTAAGGTGTACGCTTCAGGTGCTGACGCTTTGTGGCCGAATGTTCTTGTGTTCCCAGAGCAACGCTCATGCCGTGGTGCTTTACGTGTTCCGGGTCTCGTGCACTGACCTACTTGGACACGATTTCGGTATGAAACCGGGCTCCCCCCCCCCTCGGTCGTGACGAATGCTACTTGTCCGTCCGATCCGACATAACGAAATTCTTCTTAAACTCTAAACCGTGGGCGCGACCCGAACCTCAAACCCCGCCGGCAACCCAAGCCCGGCTCGGAGTAGAATCGCTGGAAAAGTGGCATTGCTTGGAGATCTTGTCACATTTCTTACATGTGTAATTGCTTTTGCGCAGACAGGGGGTCCAGATTCGCCATCGGAGTTCTAGGGGTGACGAGTTTCACAAGATACCTAAGTTTATTACATGTCAGCTCAAGAAAAGCACCTTAACTCTCAATCGAAAGTTCTCTGCACTTTAAGAAGAGCTGAAACCCAAAGCCTACAACCCTGCGCTCCGCATAACCCACACCGCAGAACCCTCCACTTGGATGCAGGCTTGCCTTGCTGAGCTCGCAGTCAGCCCTCTGGGTACCTTGCTTCAACGGGCAGTAGGGTTTTTAGGCTGCAGGGTTAAGGGTTTAGGCTTCAGGGTTTAGAGTTTAGGCTTCAGGGCTTGCTAGCTATAAAGGGTGATACTTTACTTTGTTCAGGGCATGCCCTTAGGGTCTAGGGCTATCGGGTTCGCGGCTTTAGGGCTGTATGTATAGTCTCGAGACTGGAAGCAACCGCGAAACGCTTTGGAGAATTATGCCAATCATATTCTAGAGGCAAGCGCTTATTGTGCCAAGGAAGTAAGTTGACCTGGATTCCAGCGGCAATGGTTCCGCCTGGGTTTTGACAATTGGTCGTCGTGGTAATCGTCACGGGTTGGGGCTGCAGTCGGAGGATGCGACGGACGACGGGAAAGGAGCATTGGTATTGTTGGTGCAAGTGCGAGTAATACTTGTCTTACCAGTTCTGCGATTGTACTGCGGCAGAAGTCGTACCAGCATTCCCGCTAGCACTGGATGTGTCGTGCCTAGAAGTTCTCTTCTCTACCAATTTTTTCAGTATCTGATCGTAGAGTCGCAGAGCTGGAGATTGTCAAGAAGGTTGCTCCTCAACTACAAACACTGTTTCGCTGACCTAGATAACTGTCACTAGTTCCTGGGGCATGGCATCAGATGAAATCCTTCCGAGGTTATGATGTTCGTATCGACTAGCATCGGTGTGATGCTACGGAGGCGCTTGCGGGAGCAGAGCATGGGCGCAGGGTGGGCTTGGGTTCATCTGAAGGTGGCAGGTGGTAGTTCAGAAATGCCCGGACTTTCCCGCGCATCCTTCCCGCCAAAGTTAAACGATATGCCTCTACGATCAACCCCTCGTGCGTTCCAACCGAATTCGAAAAGCTCTTGACCGAGAATTTGCACATTGGCACTAATGCAGGACAGTAATGCTGCCTGAAGATATCCCTAGCCTCTGAAACGGACTGCTTCTTTAGAGAAATGAAACCTCAACGCACACTTTCAGAAGCCCCCATAAAAACGCGGAAACCCAAAGCCCTGAACCCTAACCTGTGCCTCGAAAGCACCCAACCCGAAATGGAAGGCTCACGCTGACGGTGAGCAGCGGTAGCATCATTCGGTGGACTGCGGCAGTGGCTGTGGTTGCACTTCACGGGAATGTCCAGGATTCAGGGCATTCAGCAATTAGAATAGGGTTTCTTCAGGGATTTTCTAAGAGTCCTATTAGGGTTACCGTTTCTATGATATCGGGTTCATCGGAGCCTCATGGCAGCGGTAATTTGTCAGGCTTGTATATGGCCCATACTTTCCAGTCCCGTAGAGTCTTCGATCTAACTGAAGCTGAACGCCCCAAAGTGCTCAGTCAGTTCGGATTGGCGCAGCATCTTTGTCGCTGCAAGTATGAAGCAGGAACCGACAAGCAGAACTGAAATGTCTACCCTCGAAACTGCATGACTGCTCCTTTCGGATTCGTCCCCTCTCTCATAAGGCCGTGGCTGAATAAGGGTCCGCACATTTATGGATGGCGTAAGTTCCAAGCCTTGCAATTCCGGCAGCACGTGCCAGAGCCATGAGCATGCACCATGCCAAGTCCCACAAGCAAGATCCAGAAGATAATCCTCATCCCACGCATGCCCTTATCGCAGTGCCCTCCTTCACCTGAGCTCTTGTCAATCCGAAACCCACGTGCTTCAAGCAGGCAGCCTGTGACCGGTCCTGGCCTCTAAACTGAATCCAAACCGGGAGGATCCAAAAAGTAGATCCCTTAATGGGGGTTCCTATAAAGTACCCTTGGTAGTATAGGGCACCAAATGAGGGGATCTACTTTCTAGATCCTCCCGGAGGTCCGGGTATGGAGTGGTATGCGTGTAGTAGAAAAATGACCAAGCCTACACCCTAAACTACTATTTGCTTAAGAACCCCCAAAAAATAAAACATATATTCCTTATGGGGGTATTATAGGGATTACTATTTTTAAATTTTGGGGGTTTCTTAAGCAAATACCGCCTAAACCGTGCACCCCAAACACCAAACCCTCCACCTGGTCTCAACCCCCACGGCTCGTCCGAAACATCGGAGAGCCGAGCTTTGGACGAGAGAGCCTTGAGCCTTCAGGTCTTTCTTCTGTAGCGTTGTAGGGTTTAGGGTTTAGGGCCTTTAGGGACTTTAGGGTTTAGGGGTTAGGGCCTTTAGGGACTTTAGGGTTTAGGGTTTAGGGGTTTAGGGTTTAGGGCCTTTAGGGACTTTGGGGTTTAGGGTTTAGGGGTTTAGGGTTTAGGGCCTTTAGGGTTGAGGGTTCAGGGTCTATATGGGGTTTAATGCTTCGGGCTATAGAGTTCAGGGTTGAGGCCCTAACCGACACCGGGGGTTGGGTCGGTTAGGCGCAGTGGGATTTATGTGGGTGGTTGTCAAAATTATGGTCCCTTTTTGGGTCCCCATTATAATACGGCACCTATTTTTTAGGGTACCCAAAAAGGGACCTTAAGTTTAACAACTACCCATGTGTTGGAGCTTTGGGCCTCCAATCAAAAAGCCCACAGCGCCCAACCTGAAGATTTACATAGCTTCCCAGACCACCCAAGGGATCCAGAAAGTAGATCCCGTAATTGGGGTTCCTATAAAGTACCCTTAGTAGTATAGGGCCCCAAAGTAGGGTCTGGGTTAGCACATTCCGAGAATCCATTTCTTTTCTGGCAATCGCTGTGTTTTGGGGTAGTTTGGGCTCCATGTCCCTGCTCAAAGCCCTGCAACCCCTGACATCCCTAAACCCTAAACGAAACCCCGAACCTCCAAACCCCCAAAACCCTAAAGCTCGAAAAAGTTGCTAAGCCGGAAGCATCAAGAGCTGACAGTGAGGCACTAATGATTCTCTTTGGCCTGCAATCCTTCCGAGAGACCATGGGAGGTTCCGCCACGGGGTTTAAGGACTTTCCACAGTTAATGATTTTATCCTCTCTTACTTTCGTATGCCCCAAACCCCGGTCTAGTTCTGAAGGCCTCTTAGTTCAGTTGAGGTCTTTGGGTTTTTTCTCTTGAAAATTTGGTGGTTTGGCGGCAGTGGAGCTCAAAGTTTAGCACGTCGGGACACGTCCAGAGGCCCGAGACCCCAAACCGTCAACTCTACTGGAATGGTTCTCAAAATTATGGCCCCTTTTTGGGTACCCCAACTATAAGGTTCCGTATTATAATAAGGACACAGCAAGAAGCCATAATTTTGACAGCCACCCACTGGAAGGATCCGGGGCTTAGTGAGTGCATTAATCGGGGCTATACATAACTAAAGTTAGAGTTACCTGCCTCCCATGATCCTCTCAGTACACCCTGTGTGGGTGCTGGTGGCGCCGGAGTGTTTTGGAGAACAAATTGGGTCGGGAATTCTCGAAAGCTGCACCTCACAGGCCAGACACCAATTAAACTTCAGCAACTCTGTGTCACACCCTGAACCTGAAGCTCTTAATTACAAGCCCTTCGACGGAAGGGCAATGTTCATGTGTATCCCAGTGCTTTGAATCATAAACAACCTGAATTATCAGGCTGGATAGAGAGCCCAACGCCGCTTAAAGAACGAAGGTTCCGGACGATGTTAACAGAAAACCCAGCCAGTCTACGTAAGGGGTAGCCCTTGTTCTAGGGGTTTAGGGCCCTGTCCAAAGAACACATGAGGCTTTTGATGGATGGTTCTTGCGAAGCCAGTTGTAGAAGGCTCACAACTGTTAGCGCTGATGTCGCCTAGTCATGTGGTGTATTGTGGTGTTATGCACTCTGGGAAACCCAAACGAACCCCTGAGCCATCACTGTGTAGATCTTCAATCAATGGGGCAGCACCACTACGACCTGACCGACCAAGACGACCACGACGACGGCGACTGCCAGGAGACGAGCGGTATTAGACCACCGAAAAAAGCCAAGAAACCACACCAGCAGGACATACGGCCAAAATGCTTGCGCCCATCTACAGACAGGATTCCCAGGCGCGACCACAAGGCTTCCCCATCTACTGGAGGGATGCAGGAGCCCGGCCAACGCGTTTCACTCAAGCATCGGCGGGATTCAAAACATCGAGCTACAACAGAGGGCCACTGCATCGGAACTTAATCTGGGCTTTCTGGGGGATGGCGTCGATGGACCCTGTGTAAGTAAAAGGACGTCAGCGCCATCTATGCACCATGCCACAGTGGAAGTCGCGTCCCGCCCGGAGAACTTGAGGCGGGCGGCCGGGCATAGCAAGCCGAACAAGCGGCGCCGGCGTGTAAATACGCAGTCAAAATAAATGAACAAGCAAATAAATCAGTATTTACGTAATTATATGTGTGTGTATATATATATGCACATATTAACACATACATCATGCAGGGGACCAGGACGACGAGGAGGACGAGGGCGAGAAGGGTGACGCGCAATCAGTGGTTTGGCTTACATGAACTCTTCTTGGAGGGGCAGGGGACTTAATAAGTAGGTTATAAGTAGGGTTATAATTGGGGTAACTCCATTTAGGGTACTTATAACTCTACTTATAACCTACTTACTAAGTCCCCTGCCCTTCCAAGTTTCTGGTTATTCGGGACGTCGGGAATTAGTAATCGACTCACTGACCTCCCTCAACCTTTGTATTTTGAAGTTTTGTTCATGACACCCTCAAGTCCCTAAGCCCTGAAGCCCCTTCGCTAATCATGATAAAAACCCTACAGAGCCCCACAACTGAGCTCTATGAGGTCAGTTCCCGGCCTCTTACCGTGATTTGATCCATGCAAAGGCCCATGTGGCTTCCGTCCTCGAAGATCCGTCTAAGTCTAAGGTTGTTGAAAGGGGTTCTCTTTGGGTTCTTTAAACCTGCACGTCGGTTCTTAGCAGAAACCCAAAACTCTGGTGTTGGTTTTGAGAATATACCTCAGATCAGAATATTCATTCCTGGATGCTTTCATGTTGGTTTCTTAACTAATTAGCTGTCATTGGGCTCTCTGGGAAGCCTGCCTCTGTAAATGCTCATCGGTTCGTTCCCCTCTTGTTGCCTCGGTCTAATTTGCGCGGATTGCCGGCTAAGGAAATTGACGGTGTGCTGCACAAGGCGAGTTTGATCAGCAAGCTCGAATATGGGGGTTTCCGAAAATGGGGGACCCTAATATAGTACCCTAAATAGTAGGATCCTTATAATAATATTATAAGGACCCGCAAAACGGTACCCCTAATTTTCGCAAAGTCCCCTATGAGAGACAAGGAAGCCTGAAGCCCGGGTCCCTCTATGGTGCTGTAGCCGTTGTGTTTCAAGGAAGAACTGCAGACGATGGCCGCGAAATGTTGCTACTCCTGGTTCCTTTCAAGAGTTTTTGGGTGCTGGGATTGTTGGGTTTGAGGGTTTGGGGGAGGGTTTAGGTTTGCCATTAAAGCACCGCGTCGGGCATTCTTCTTCCTCACGATGGTCATTCTGATCCATGTACAATGTCCAACAAAAACCGCCGTAACAGTGTGTTGATACAGGTCATCGTCGTAGCAGTAATGACTCGCATACAAAGAAGCTTACCAGAAGCCACAATCCAGCCCCAGATTTCCATCCCGACAGGCTCGTGGTCATCACCATCCACACCGCTTCAGTCTGATGTACGCCTTTCGGTTTGCGGCTTCCCAGCTGAAGACTGCTGACTTTGTAGCCGGCCACGAAGATCAGCGAAATTGAGGATTAAGTTTGTTCTTGAAGCCAACACCGGAAGGGGGGTTAATGTGGCGGTCGGTTTAATAGTGGGGTACCCCCCCCCCCCCCCCCCCCCCCCGACCAAAAAGTTTTGGTCTCTTTAATTTGGAACCGGTAACCCCGGACACTGAGTGGCAGGGAATTGGGAGGTGCCGGGGTTTGGGGGGTTGGCTTGGGTGCAGGGTCTGCGGTTCTGCGCGGTCGGGGGTCGGGGGGGTCTGGGGATCACGAAATGCTGGAAACCAAGCCCCGATCACTCCAAGACTACTACGAAGACTAAAAACCCTTCATTTTGAACACTTTTGCCTCCGTAACCTACACTCACACACTCCCACCCACAATCGACCACGTCTGAAGCTTTGTGCGTACAATAATAGTACAGTAGTACAATAGTAGTACAGTAGAAATAAAACAGTGGTAGTACAATAGTAGTACAATAATAGTGCAGTAGTACAATAGTAATACAACAGTAGTACAGAGGTAGTACAATAGTAGTACAGTAGTTGTACAATAATAGTAGAGTAATACAATAGTAGCACAATAGTAGTACAGTAGTAGTACAGTAGTAGTACGATAATAGTACAGTAATACAATAGTAGTACAGTAGTAGTACAAAAATAGTGCAGTAGTACAATAGTAACACAACAGTAGTACAGTGGTAGTACAATAGTAGTACAGTAGTAGTACAATAATAGTACAGTAGTACAATAGAAGCACAATAGTAATACAATAGTAGTACAGTAGTAGTACAGTAGTAGTACGATTATAGTACCGTGGTACAATAGTAGTACAGTAGTAGTACACTAGTAGTGCAGTAGTACAATAGTAATACAACAGTAGTACAATGGTAGTACAATAGTAGTACAGTAGTAATACGATAGTAGTACAGTAGTACAATAGTAGTACAGTAACAGTACAGTGGTAGTACAATAGTAGTACAGTAGTACACTAGTAGTACAGTGGTAGTACAACAGTAGTACAGGAGTACAGTAGTAATACAGTAATAGTACAGAAATAATACCAATAAGCAAAGCATAAAGCCAGTGAGCACATTCCCCCAATAAGCAAAGCATAAAGCCAGCGCCTGAACCCTAAACCCTGAACCCTAAACCCTCACAAACCCTAAACCCTAACGAACCCTAAACTCCTAAACCCTAACAAACCCTAAACCCTAAGCCCTAAACCCTTCCCAAGGGGGGTCGGTCCAGATTGGACCCAAAATTGAATTTTTATACAAACTTTAGTACTGGAGAGGCCTCTTTTGAGCTAGGGTCGAATCCCCGATTCGGCGGTTCACCCTAGCAGCCCCCCCCAATAAGCAAGGCATACAGTAGCAGTACAATAGTACAATAGTAGTACAGTAGTAGTACAGAGTCCCATTCCTGACGCCCCAATAAGCGAAACAATTCTGCAAGAGATTTTAGGTCTTCAGGGCCAGGGTTTTAGGGTTGGGTGGGGGTTTGGGTGGGGGTTTAGGTCGTGGCTGCCTTAAGATTGACCATCAGCAATAGCACAGCCCCGCCACCAAAAAATCACCCCAGCCAAAAAAAAACGCATTAATTAGACCAAGCCCAAATTTGTGGGACCGGTCGGAATTAGCCCCCGAGCCGACGCATTAAAGGAGCCCATATTCCTAAACCGACCGGCACATATGAATCTACAACAGCTGGCTTGGACAAGGTTTGCACAACAAAGGCTCAGGAGACTTGATTCAGCAGGTCCTGATTTGGGTTGCAAATACCTGGGGGGGGGGGAGTGCTGTATCATGTAACTCCACCTGGGCCTGTAATAGAAATTCCCTGAGCCTCCGAATCTTAAAGTCTACTTTGACTTCAAAAATCATTGAAGATTTCGGCCATAACCCTGCATAAACCTGAAGGTGTACTGTACATACCTATATAGCATATACCTTGGCCTTGATCTATAGTAGCAGCTACTGAGTGCTAAAGTATACTAAGACTGTACGGGAACTCGGACTTTCAGGACACCTAACTAGGCTGCTAGTGAATGATGACTGCGGTGACTGCGGTGCTGGCTGAGGTCCGCGCATCTGTGCGCATCTGAACCTATAAAGTTCCTTTTGCTGGTGGTGACGGTTTTATCGCAGACCACGGGTGGGACAATTGCGATGGTCGTCCGTAGAACGACCAGGACGATCACCATGAGATTAGGCAATGCGACTGGCGGAAAGGAACAAGCAGCTCGAGCGCACGCAGAAGCAGCAACAGCGCTTTAGCGAGCCTTACGTACGTGAGACCCTGGTTTTGTCAAATTACGTGATGATGATACCCAGAGGCTCCATAGTATTTCCTTTTTGGGCTTAGCTTATAGGATTCTACATATTGAACCCCAAAAAGGAACTTCTTTGGAGCCTTGGGGTATTTAAACCACAGAGCTGAAGACTTGTGTCCGGTGCTTCGATGACTGTCAGGTGTCCAGCTTTCTGTGGCATCAGGGCTAGCAATCAATAATGAGGGGTCTGGCTACGTAGTAAATGGTAGTCCCTACGTAGTTACAGCAATAACATACCCCCTACACCCCCGGACCCTAAACCCTAGCGCTTACACCCCAAGAACCCTGAACCCTACAAATCCCTCGACCCGAAAAATCCCTAAACCCTACGAGCCCTGAATCCCTAAACCCTGAACGCCCCTAAAGCCTAAGCCCGCGCAGAAGCTCATTACACTAATGTCGGAACCTGATTAAGAAACCCTGGGCCTGTAACCCGAAAATAGTAGGATTCTGTTGGAAGAGCTGGACTTCACATGTTGCCTGATGTTATGTGATCTCTTGTTTTGACCCACGGTTAAGAAAGCTGTGGTGCACTGATCCTCTAGAGAGGGGATGTTCGCATATGTTCGGTTGCTGAGGGTGTGCACAGAAGCCTCTCACGAGACTGAACGCGAATGACATGGCTCAAGATGAGAAAACAGTGCCGAGCTGACGCGAGGACGTTCTGTCCGTTTGTAGGCCGGCGCTTGAGGGGTTCTTTTGGTGTTTGGGTTTTGGGTAGGGTTAGGATCCGAGCGGTCATCCCTTCCTGGACTCCCGAACCCCGTTACGACCCGCATCTTCTTTGTGTTTTGTAACTACGCTGTTTAGGGCTCGTCGCCGACTTGCCATGGAGTCTGGGGTTCAGAATCAACGACCTGATGGTCAACAGGTTATGATTGCCCAAGTTCGCGATGCTACTCTGCAGGAACCCAGACAGCTGGAAGGCGAAACCCATGGGCCCGACTATGATCACGGCCCTCGTCCGCTGCAGCAGTTGCCGAATGGTGTGCCCCGCAGGGCGGTGGGAGCCTCACCAACTGGGGACAGCGATTTGGCTGCCTTTGCTTATTCGCCAACTGCAGAAAGGCAAGAGACAGGAGGTCGTGATCGAGATGTTGCTCCTCGAGGTCTTGTTCCGGCTTTTTACCAAGAGGCCTTGCCAGCCCAACCGGAACGCCCGGGAGGGGCAGGCCCAGTGGAGCCGGCTGGACAGATGAGGGGCTTTGGTGGAGCCTCTACAGCGACGATGAACTGGATGGCCCGGCTAGGGGATTTCCCACGGACGCAGGTGCAAGGCGGCATGGAAACCAGAACTACGATGACGCGTCAACAAGTCGTGGGCTCGAGGGAGTTGGGCGGCTTGGTCGTGCAACAAGAACAGCTGCAGCACACTACCTCCCAGCCGGCATCCCCCACCAACCACTTGTATCCTTCAGTCTTTCCGTCACCGGCTCGTGAAGGTATGGGAGAAGGGGAGCTAGATCCACCCTTGTTTGGAGCTGGAGCTCGGCGGGTGATGGAAGGCTGGGCTCAGCGCGCTCCTCTTTTGCACGGGGTGCAGAGGACTCAGCAGGGCCCGGGGACCGATGCAGGTTCTACGGGGTCCATACCGAGAGAGATGGTTCAGGAAGAAGTTCGGCGGCAGGTGCAGGAAGCCTTGGAGGGCCAGCGCCGCTCGCTGGAACGTCTTCAAGAAGAGAATCGGTTGTTGAGAGTCGAGATGAGAAGCCGTGAGACTGCTCGTGAGGTTTCTGGAGATGACGTGGGACAGCATGGTGTACCAGGCGGGCATCGGGCTGCATCTATGCATGAGGGACCAGACGGGCATCGGGCTGCATCTATGCATGGTGTACCAGACGGGCATCGGGCTGCACCTACGCCTAATGTACCAGACGGGCATCGGGCTGCATCTATGCATGGTGTACCAGACGGGCATCGGGCTGCATCTATGCATGGTGTACCAGACGGGCATCGGGCTGCACCTACGCATAATGTACCAGACGGGCATCGGGCTGCATCTATGCATGGTGTACCAGACGGGCATCGGGCTGCATCTATGCAAGGTGTACCAAGCGGGCATCCTGAGGGGCATCAGCAATCAGCTTTTCAGAGTCGTGGAGTACCTGAGGGGCATCAGCAGTCAGCTTTTCAGAGTCGTGGAGTACCTGAGGCGCATCAACAGTCAGCTTTTCAGAGTCGTGGAGTACCTGAGGGGCATCAGCAGTCAGCTTTTCAGAGTCGTGGAGTACCTGAGGGGCATCAGCAGTCTGCTTCCCAGAGTCGTGGAGTACCTGAGGTGGGTCATGATGTGCCGTCTGAGCAGGTCAGGGGCAGGACATCCAGTCTGGACCGTAGAACTTCACCGCTGGGGCGAACGCGTAGAAAATCCTCTTCGTCACCTTCGGGACTGGTTGAAGGTTTGGGTCCGGCTAGTTTCTCCTACGGTGTGACCGGCCTCTTGGATGGTGATGGATACAGTTTCCCGCAGAATGAGCGAGTGTACCGTCAGCCGGTGTATCAGGAGACCAAGACCTTCGGCGACTATGATGTGTCGGCGCCACCTGGTCTAGGTCCTTCTACCGAGAAGACAGCAGAGGCACCGGGGCCTGCGTTTGCTGGACACTCAACGGCGCCCACCGCATGCGGCGCAGCCGATCGGGAGCCGAACCCGCTGGAGGTGCTCATCACGGGGATGACCCAGTTACAGCAGCTTCTGTTGAAGAAGGGCGAGGGGCTTGATGTAGAGTCCAAGGGAATGCCAGAGTTGCCCAAGCTTTCGGAGTACAACCCGGAGACCGGGGCGATAGAGTTTCAGGACTACCTTTACTTGGTGGAGCAGCAGATAGGCTCACTAGCCAGTGGTGCGGGTGAGTGGTGGCAGAAGACCTTGGAGGTGGCCCAGGTTGCGTACACCGAGTACCAAGCACTTTCTCCGGTGAAAAGGCTGGGAGTGAAAGCCCAGTTGACGGTTGAGCTTAAGGAGGAGCGATACCGCAGATTGGAGAAGAAGGTCGCGGCGATGCTGTTGAGCTCATTGCCGAAGGGGGTCAAGGATGACCTCATTGCCTACCGTGTGCAGGGGGTCCACCAGATTCTCTACAGGCTGATGGTGATCTTCCAGCCAGGTGGAGCCCAGGACCGAGCACAGTTGCTGAGACAGCTGGACATTTCAGAATCTGCTGCGGGCCCGAGCGAGGCGGTTGTGAGCATTAGGAGGTGGTATAGGCTGCTGCAACGGGCATCGGATCTGGGAGTTACCTTGCCCGACGAAAGCCTACAGGTGAAGTCCTTGAATGCCATTGTCAAAAAGACGGCGGAGCAGAACAGCGACTTCAAGTTCCGTTTGGCCCTGGCGAGGACGGAGCTTCAGATCGACACTCGCCCCAACCAAGGAAATGTTTTGAAGTACATGCAACACCTCTTGGCTGAGTTGGAGCAGCTGGGGTCCTTGGTTAGGAGGCCGGCTGTTGCACCGTCGACTACGGCACCGACGACCTCTACCACGGCGGCGGCCACAACACCGGCGGCTACGGGATCTGCATCCTTGAAGGGCTTGCAGGGCAGTGATCCTCCTCCAAAGGGGAATGGCAAGGCCAAGGCACCGCCGGGGAAGAAACTGTGTCAGTGGTTCTCCACAGATTCCGGGTGCCGCAACGGTCGCGACTGCACCTTCCAGCATACGTGGACCGGCCTCAACAGATCTGAACGTTGTATCCTTTGCGGGTCCAAACAGCACAGGGCAAAAGAGTGCACGGCAGGCAAGGCTGGTTCCTCTCCAGAAAGGGGGAACAACGCTCAGGCTGCTAAGGCTGCCGGCGCAGCTCCCTCCTTGACTCCTTCGTTGGCGGCTGCGACACCAAAGGACTCAGCCCAGAATGCTGCGAGCGCTCCGGCAACGTCCTCTACAACTTCCGGCCCTACCTCTACGGCCAATAAAATGGATCCGTCTCAGATGTCGGAAATGTTGGCCGAAACCAACAAAATGCTGAAGGCTTTGACGGCCAAGAATGAGGCGCCTGTGGCTCCCACATCGGTTGATCCCTTGACGGTGATTCAGCAGCAGCTCGATGAAGTACGTCGTTTGAAGGTTTTGAGGGTTCATGAGCCGTCCCCTGACACTTGTGCTTTTGGCAGTGCGGTGGAATGGTATGAGGCAAGGCTGCATGCTACCACTTTGAGTTCTGCCTCGGCAACACTCTCTGAGGAGGAGGAGGCTTTGTTGGACAGTGGCGCGAGCCACCCGTTTCGTCCCCAGCGTTCCTCGGTGGGGAGGAGCTCAGGAGGGCAAGGAGAGTGAATGTTTCCTTGGCCACTGGGGAGGGAGCTTCGATCCCTCAAACGACTGAAGGCACGTTGCTTTCTGAAGGAGGAGACAATTCACCGATCCTCCCGATGGGCCAGTTGGTGCAGCTGCTGGGCTGCCAGATCAAGTGGACACAGTCAAGGTTGACTGTGATTCATCCTGTTCATGGACGATTGAGAGTTCGTCTTCGAGGAAATTGTCCGGTCCTTCCAGTCTCCCAGGCTTTGACCCTTATCAGTGAACTGGAACAGGCGAGGGTTCGGGAATTCCAGCGAACCGTTGATGGGCTACAGGCCCAAGTCCGAGCCCTCCGAGAGCAAGGTCGGGAAGAATGGACATGGCAGCGGCATCTTCGAGCTCTATGTGAAGAGGGAAGTCGAACTTCTATGGCAGGGTTCCTTCATCGATGCCCTACCTTTGCTTCGGTTCCGCTGAGTACCTGAGGATGTTCCTTGTGGCGGAACCAAGGCGTTTCACCGTCCTCGGCTTCAGGAACTTCTTGCCCTATGGGGTCTTCGTACTCCGAATGCCGTTAGCGAGGCGATCCAGTCCGACTACCCGGCCAAGATGAACGGCACCATTGCGGTGTTGGCGAAGCTCGTGTTGCTTATGGGCTGGATGGTTCAGGGCTCCAGGGCTGCCCGTCCCGTGGAATCAAGTATTGAGGTCAGTATGCCGTGGGAGCTGTACGGGCTGATGATTCTGGGGTTGATAGCGGCTATTGGAGTGTGGGAGGCCATTAAGTAATTCTTTGAGTGGGTTTCCTTGAAGAAAACTGGCTCTGTCGAAGAATCCAGAGGGGCTAGAAGGCTCCGACGACTACAACAGACAGTACAAGAAGAAGTTGCTCGGTACTCCCTTGATGGTTTTGATGAACCTGATCCTCCCTCGCCTGTTCCGCGGGTGAGGCGCTCTACTCCGCAGCCGTCGCCGCTGCGTGTCGAGACTCGTCGTACTCCAGTTACAGCCGAGGCGATAGTTCAGACTGATCCTATGCCAGATGGTTACGTTCAGTTTGGCGGGCCTTTCGTGATGAGTGAACATGGTGACAGGGTTCACTATGATCCTGCATGTCATGGGCTACGGAATGCGATGACGAGGAGGAGACAGGTGACACTTTGTCACTACTGCGAGCGCCGAAGCAGGCTTTATCAGTACCAAGGGTGACTTGTCAAGTGCGGTCCAGCTGGTCGGAGGGAGCGTGTTTCCGGATCGGCCTGCAACACGAGGAGGAGTGTTGGAAGAGCTGGACTTCACATGTTGCCTGATGTTATGTGATCTCTTGTTTTGACCCACGGTTAAGAAAGCTGTGGTGCACTGATCCTCTAGAGAGGGGATGTTCGCATATGTTCGGTTGCTGAGGGTGTGCACAGAAGCCTCTCACGAGACTGAACGCGAATGACATGGCTCAAGATGAGAAAACAGTGCCGAGCTGACGCGAGGACGTTCTGTCCGTTTGTAGGCCGGCGCTTGAGGGGTTCTTTTGGTGTTTGGGTTTTGGGTAGGGTTAGGATCCGAGCGGTCATCCCTTCCTGGACTCCCGAACCCCGTTACGACCCGCATCTTCTTTGTGTTTTGTAACTACGCTGTTTAGGGCTCGTCGCCGACTTGCCATGGAGTCTGGGGTTCAGAATCAACGACCTGATGGTCAACAGATTCATATAAGGAACCCTAATAAAGGCCCAAGGTTTTTTAATCAGGTTCCTACACTATCCAGAATATGGAGCTTTACAGTAACCCAACCCGTAGAGTACCCACTCAATATGGAACCCTTCCTTACAGTCTCCACTCCATAGTATGGAACCCTTAACGGAACCCTTAGAGTACCCACTTTTTGGAAGCTCTTGAAACTTGAGGTTCTAATCTTCCTCGCGGAGTGGGGCGACCGGTCGATGCTGGCGACAATCACACTTGTGCCCGGACGCAAATGGGTTGAGGGGTTTGGGGTTTTGGGTTTTGACATTTAGAGGTTTAGGGTTTAAAGATAGGGGTTTATAGTATGAATAAATCTTAGGGAACTACGGATTAGTGTTTTGGGGTTTGAGGGTTCAGGGCTTTTGTGCTGTAGGGTTTAGAAAGCACAGTGTGCTCTAGGCCGTACATGAACTTCCCTGGGCCCTGGACCTTACCGAGGGCAGCGGGGTAACTACCTTTGTAGACTCATGAGCTTTGGGTACAGACTCGATGTGGGGCGATTGTTGCCTGGTGTTGAAATTTAGGGGCCAAGCTATCTGTGGCACCTGGAACTGCTTCTCTCTGCCTCAACATCAAAAAGTTCAATACCTCAGACGATACATACTGTAGTATGATGTAACACAAGATCGTATAATCGAAGATAGTGAAATAGAGCATTTTCTAGCACCAGGTCATGTAATATCATATACAGTGTTGGCAGTTCTCGCAAGATCGGAATTCAAGTTTAACATCTCCAACCCGAGCTTTCCCGAAGCTTCTTTCCACATGAAGCAACCAGGGTGTAGGGTTTAGGTTTAGGGTTTTGGTCCCGGCGTTTGAGGTTTAGGGTCTAGGGTGCATATTCTTGGGAGCAAGGTGAAAATGGTGCGCAAGTGTCGATCATTCTTGGAAGCATATCCGTAGACAAGCGTCGATCATTCTTGGAAACGTGTCCTTGGTCCCTGACACATCATTGATATACCCCCAAACCCAAGTCAGTCATATCCTAGTACGGGGATCTGCGTATTCAGTAGTAACTTCCCCGGTCAGGTTTGTGCTCCTTGAACAGCTTGTACCGGCAGCACCGTCTCGCGTGTCAAGATTGAGGGTTTGAAGTTTCAGGGTTTGTGAGCTCGTGCAAGGCAACTACGAAGAGCCCATTGGGCGTTTTCATAGGTGGCTGCCCCTTGGATGCAGACAGAAACCGGAGCTCCCGAAGCCCTGAAAACCGAGACCTGTTGTTAAAAGCCAACAGCATCCGCCTGTAACCCTGAATCCCAAAATCTTGGGCCTTAACCCAACGATCACCGAAACCCCACACACCCAGATCAACACCCACGCCGCCCCCCCCCCCCCCCCCTCCCCTCCCCGCCTCCCCCTCCCATTTCTTTTCAAGTTTCTGGGCCAGCTGCCTTAGCCGTCCCGGGCTCTCCGTTAGAGTCTCATGGGGCTTAGTAAGTAGGCTGTGCGGCCATACTTATGAGCAGTAGAGAGGGTAACCTGTTACTTTTCCGGGAGTACCAGAATATCGAAATATTCCCGAACCCCCAAGGCTACTCTTAGTTCTCTTTGGATACTTGAAAAGTAAGTGCAGGTAGACGTAGAGCTAGGATAACTGCAAGTCGCCTGCACTATCGCCAATTACTAAGTTCCCTGCCCCTTTTAGAATCCTTAAGCCCGCAAAAGTCCACATGCTCATGCCCGTATGGTGATAGTGCCCTTCTGATAACCCTATTCAACATCAAGGTCCTGTAAAGAACCTTGCAACAATTTGACGAAGTTCCTACGGAACATTCCTGAAATTCGTACCAGCTCGTTTCTGGACCTGGCCTGAACTCTCAACCCGAAGCCTCCTTTAAGGCTGAGGCTATTGGGTTTAACAGGGTTGTAATAGGTTTTACATTGGTTTGAATCGGGCTTGACGGGTTTCAGTGTGTAAATGAGCGTTGGAATTGGTTCTACACGCCGAAGCTCTTAAGCACTACGCTTCCCAGCCCTCACAAAGGCACATGAACGATCACAAACTACATTAACGAAATCCTACCGATCAGGGTTTAGAGTCAGGGTTTCGGGTTTAGGGGTTCTGATAAAGCTCAACAGAAACCCGACCAATACCCCGCTTGGAACCCCCATTATGATGTTGCTATAGTTTGCAGGCGAACCCTTCTTGAAAGGAGCCACGAAATGACCTACAACCAAGACAAAGCAATTTTACAGACGTGATGCGAAGCCGCATGGAGCATAAGTTGGCACCAAAAGTAGGTCATGGTCCTATGGTAGTTTAAGGTAGGGTAAAGAATCGGAACAGGCTTTGGCCACCTGATTGCCGGCACCTTGGCCGTCCTTAGCGGCCATTTTCTCGAGGAGCACGCTCGGGCCCCGGCATAGAGGGCCCAGGGCTTCATTTGTTTTGGGTGCTGTTGCATGTGAGTTTGTGAAGGGGTGGGTGGATGGGATGTGGGGGCGCGGGGGATTATGGGGGAATGGCTTAAATTTAGATGAGGGTTTTCGAACTACAGTAAAGTGTAGGGCAGTGTGGGGCTTAGGGATAGCTGTCTAACAGGGGCCAGCGATGCTTGACATGTACAGGTTCCTTGGCTCTATGGAAAGCATTATACACACACCTAGTATGTGTACGCACATGTGTACATACACGCACAGATCTATATATACACATATATACATATGTATATATATATATATATATATATATATATATATATAGGTCCAGGCTCGATGAACCAAGCCTCGTTGCTAGGAGACGACTACTTTCATTGAAAGTTCAGCGGGAGGATCGGGATGACGCCCTCTGCAGTATTGGCATTCCAATACAACATGTCATCATGTTGCTTCGCAGTTGAAAAGCATGCAAAGTTGGACTCCTGCATTTTCATTATGCAGAACCGCTCCTTGCCACAAGGCATATACATATTTGTGATCGGGGGCGGAGGGCAGGCAGGTGAGCGCGTGGTCATACAACTGTGTCTCGATTAGGATGCATAGAAAATTTGCGAGGTTACAACATCTAGGTCCGCCGGCAGTATCCTTTGGTCTTCCTTATCAAACCTGGATAGTATGAGAAAGGGCCCCTTGAATTTGAAGGCGATGTTGCGAAACAGAAGTCTTCAGGATTCGTGTTTCGCTGCTTTCAGGGGCTTTGGTTTTGGGGTTGATTCTACGTGTCCCTTACGGTAAACCCTAAGCGCCTCAAGCTATGCTACCTACCTGAGCCCGCAAAAAAATGGACTTCCCTAGGACCGGAAAAGCTACTAAACCCTAAACCACACAGCATAAACCCTAAAACCAACTTAAACTCAGGT